CCCGGAATAGGTTTTAGGATCATATCTGCTGATGCAGGTGTTGTCACGATCGACGTGGGATTATCCTGCACCATCTCCATGATCTCCCCTTCGCCATTGGCGTTGATGACCTAGGAAATGGATCCGATCATGAAAGACTGACCTGGCTTGGGGGAGAACGAAGAGCTTGGAACACGCACCATCTGGCTTGTCATGGGAACAACATGCACACCCCTACCTAGCGCACCAACTGTCGATGGAATCTCATCAAAAGTCCACCGAGGGGTATACCCACGATGGTAGATTGTGTAGTAGAGGTGCGCGTGAACAGGAACTAGATGGTAATAGAGACACAAGATTTAGATAGGCTCAGGCTATCAATATGACGTAATACCCTACGTCCTATGTTCTGCTGGATTGTATTGATTATGTATGAGATCTGATGTTTTGAAGGGGTCCCCTAACTGCCTTATATAGCCTGGGGGTAGGGTTATAGGTCGGTTAGATCTAAACCTAGTTGATTACATGATAGACATTATAAGCAATATGATATCTAGCATATTCAATCAGATCTTTCTTCATCTTCAAGATAACTTCCTGAATCCTTGTGGTGCACGCCGACCAATGTCATGCGCCGTGCTCCTTGATCTTAAGGGCTGGACCACCCCTGATGGTGCAGCCCATGTACATCGCCGTGGGTACCCAGGGTTATACCCCCATACCAGTTTAAATCACTATATCCCTCAAGCACAACTAGGTGCCTAGAATAGTGAATTCCATAGCTCATTGTACCTTTAAGATAACGCAAGAACCTTTTAAGTGCATGCCAATTATCATCACCGGGTTGGACATGAACCTACTCAACTTGCTCAGAGCAAAAGAGATATCTAGTCTTGTTGCGCTAGCTAAGTACATAAGTGAACCAATGATCTAAGAGTACATCAATAGGTCTCTAGCTACCTTCTTGTTCTTTCTCAATGTCACACTAGGATCATAAGGTGTTAGAGAAGGCTTCCTATCCATAAAGCCAAACCGGCTCAAGACCTTCTCAACATAGTGAGATTGCAACAAAGTAATCCCACTCATCGTTAACCAACTTGATGTTTAGAATCACATAAGCTTCTCCCAAATCTTTCATGTTAAAACTTGTTGATAGAAAAGACTTGACCTCATTAATTGCATCAATGTTTGTACCAAAGATTAGAATATCATCAACATACAAACATAATATAACATATTTGCCCCCACCATGTCGATAGTACACACACCTATTAGCCTCTTTTATGGCAAAGCCTGAGCTCGTTAAAGTTGTGTCAAACATCTCATGCCATTGTTTAGGTTCTTGTTTCAGGCCATACAAAGATTTCAGTAACTTACAAACCTTGCGTTCTTCACCTTTTACTACAAATCCATCAAGCTGGTCCATATAGATTTCCTCATCCAACTCTCCATTAAGGAAAGCTGTCTTCACGTCCATTTGATGAACGAGAAGACCATATGAGGCAACCAAGAAAAGTAGCATAAACATGTTGCTAACCTTATAGTTGATTTTAAAGAAAAATATTATTTTGCCTATGTTTTAATGTGAACAACAAAGCATAAAAAAATCAATTTAACTTATTTAATAAAGTGCAAATTTTAGGATGTTACAAACCTTTAATTTCAGAAACTAACTTTTTAAGGAAAAAGTTGAAACTGAAGTTGACCATTCAAAAAATGAGACCAAAAAATGAGGAGACATGGGGACTTGATTGGGGAAAATCAATGGGGACGATCAATGGATCAATTGTGGGCACTTACCATGAATTTGCAACACATGTCCAAGCACATGTATCCAACACATGAGAGAGTAATTGTTTTTCTTTCCAATTATATATTTCTCCACAATTTGATCGAGAACCCCATGCATTAGATGCATGTATATGGACCTGTGTCATGAATCCACAACATGTGTCTATGAACTATGATTGCTCCATGGGGACTGCCCCCATTGAATTTTTTTTTTCTCTAGATGGTGCTACACCTCCTAGGTTATACTTTTCACTTCCAAAGGAGGTGTGCATGGGGGCTTGATAACATGGGGGTCTAAAAGAGATTATATGACTAATCACCTGCTCAACATTTTAACAAACAAGTAAGTCATTTAATCTCTTTCCATCATTATTCCATCCACCAAAATCCATATAAGGACTAGATATGCTTTTACCATAACAAAAGCACGTTATATGGAATATAGCCAGAGGCCATCATAGGATTATGTTGTATACCAAAAAGAGATGGATACCCCAAATGCTTGGTTGTGACTAATGCTACAATCAAGTCAAATTTTGGTCATATTCAAAGAGGGCAATGCCCAAACTTGGCAAAAACTAAAAATGTTGATCAAAAGTTGAAAACTACATTATGTATTAGCTAAATGCATTATATAAGCATTTATTAGGACCTTTTAATTGCACTACATCTAGGCATATCTTTTTTTAACCATTTGTAGAAGAGTAGTAGTAATTCCATAGAGGGCATGTTCTAATCTCATACAGCTAGCAATTACCTGCTAAAAAGTAGGTGAAGATTTTATTTGGATTCTCATTATTCTAATAAGTCAAATAATGTTTTACCTACCACCAAACTAATAGTTAGCTATTTATAGCTGGTTATTAAACTAGTACAACTAATAGTTAGACAAATCCGAATGGAGCCCATGGGGACATTACAACCAATTATAATTTAAAATCTCCAACACTAAATAGGCATGCTATGGATTCAACTAAGTATACCATAAAGAAATGGATACCCCAAAACCTTATAATTGTTAATGCTACAATCTTGGTAGATTTTCAATAATTGTAAAAGGAACCTTAGTTTAATTTCAGAAACTTACTTTTTATTGAAAAAGTTGGAACTGAAGTTGACCATTCAAAAAATGAGACCCTCCTGAGGAGGCATGAGGCTTGATTGTGCTACCTCCTAGGTTATACCACTCACTTCAGAAAAATGAGGTGTGGGGGCTCAATTCCATAGAGGGTGATCTAAAAGAGATCGCAAGACTAATCACCTGCTCAATTTAAGAGACAAGTGAGTCATTTAATCTCCTTGCATTATTCAATCCACCAAAATCCTTCTTGTAAGCCTCCGAAAAATGAGATTTTGCACCAGATTTTTATATGACCCCACTTGTAAGCTTCTAAAAATAGAGACAAAAATGAGGAGGCATGGGGACTTGATTGGGAAAAAATCAATGGGGACGGTCCCATGGAGCAATTGTGGGCACTTACTATGGATTCGCGACACGTGTCCAAGCACATGCATCCAGCATATGAAAGACTATAATTGTTTTTCTTTCCAATTATTCCTTCTATATTTGACCAAGAGCCACATGTGTTGAATCCATGCACATAGACATGTGTCACGAATCCATGACATGTGTCTATGGTTGCTCTATGGTAATGTCCTCCCTGTTTGTTTTTCTCTTGATGGTGCTACCTCCTATATAGGTTATACCGTTCATTTTTGAAAAAGGAGGTGTGTGGGGGATCGATTTCATAGGGGGTCTAAAAAAGATTATATGACTAACCACCTGCTCAACATTTTAACAAACAAGTTAGTCGTCATTTAATCTCTTTGTATTATTCCATCCACCAAAATCCATATAAGGACTAGATGCACTTTTAGCTAACAAAAACACTTTATATGGCATATAGCCAAAGCCCATCACAGGATCATGTTATAATAAGAAATGCAACCAAATAGCTTGGTTGTGACTGCAGTGGCCAAGTCAAACTTTGGAAGATCAGGGCAATGCCAAAACATGGCAAAAATAAAAATGTTGATCAAGTGAGAAAACTACACTATGTAGCAGTATTAAGCATTTATTAGGGCCTCTTAATTGCACTACATCTAGGCATATCTTTTTTTACCATCTATCTAACAGTTAAGTGTATCATATCAAAATGATACAATGTTTTAACTCTCTACAATCTTGGTAGATTTTCAAGAATTGTAAAAGGAATCTTAGATCAAGCGAATATGTCGTATATAAGGTAGTAGTAGTAGTGTTAAGGACATGTTTGAATCCCATACAGCTAGCAATTAGTTGCTAGAAATAAGTTGAGATTTTATTTGGATTCTCAGCTAATAAGTCAGCTAATGCATGTTTTACCTACCACCAAACTTAGGGTCTATTTGGATCCCTTCATCTAAACTTTAGAGCTCTAAAAGCTTTAGAGTACTTTAACTCACTTTTTGAGCTCTAAAGTTCTAATGTAAGGTGGGCTAAAGTTTAGAGCTAACTTTAGACTACTTGTTTAGAGGTTTAGATCTAAAATTTAGAGCTCTAAAGTTTGAAGGAACAAATCCAAACAGGCCCTTAGTTACCTATTAAATTTTTTTTCTTGCTAGTACAACTAATAGTTAGTTGGGTAGATCTGAATGGAGCCTACGAAGTACAACTAATTATAATTTAAAATTTAAAATCTCCAACAATAAATGGGCGTGCTAGCTAACAGCTAAGTGTACCAAAAAAAATGATACCCAAAAACCTTAGTAACTAATTCTACAATCTTGGTAGATTTTCAAGAATTGTAAAAGGAATCTTAGTTTAATTTTAGAAACTGACTTTTTATTGAAAAAGTTGAAACTGAAGTTGACCGTTCAAAAAAAATCAAAAGAAGAAGCTGACTTTGATTTACGTCGACGACGACTTTTGCAGCAGCTGATGATATATATACAGCGGCGCGCATCATATGCTGCAGCATCGTCGTCTGCGCCTTCAGAAGAAAAAGAAAGTGAGATAGAGGTGTGTGACACAAGCACTTGCTTCATCTTTTGCATTGCTCGCTAGCTCTGGACTCTGCTGGAGTCGAAATTCTTCCACACATGCATTCACGCATGCAGCAGCTACCTTATATATACAGTGTATATCTTTGCAGGTCGACGACGACGCTTCCAGCTAGCCAGTAGAGACGACGACACATCGATCGTACTGCATGCGTTGCCGGCCGGCCATCCACCAGGCATCGACGACCATGGCCGCCACGGCGCCTGATGTTGTGAGGTCATTGCTGCGGACGGCGGCAGCGGCCATCGTCCTGCTCGTCGCCGTTGGAGCGTCGACCGTACTGCACCTGGCAGCCGCCGCAGTGCCACCGCCGGACGCAGCCCAGCATGGTGTTACACTAAGCGTCAGCCAGCGGCAGGTGCGTGCGCTGCGTACTACTACTCTAGCTCCTAGCTAGGCTAGGCTAGCGAGTTAGAAGTAGCACATTTTTTTTTATTTCCATGCATGTATAAGGGGTTTGTTCCTCATTACCGTACCATATTGTTGGGTCGTTGAAATCCGGTAGTTCAGCGTATGGACAAGAAGAAGCAACGACCATATTCTGAGCACAAGTCAATCACAGTAGTTTCTGGGAGTAGGCCCTATATATGCCTCTCTTTTTTTGTTTTTTCTCCTATCTTAGTAAAATGATATGCAATCCTCCTGCATCATAGCGATGTAGAAATATTTTTTCCATGAGTTCTCCGTGGTTACCGATGAAATTGTCAAAAAAATATGTATATATATTTCCCAGATACTATAGGATGCCTCAACTCTTTTGTAATTTTCCATGTACTTTTTCTTTCGGTAATATATTTTTTCACTTCTCCTATATTTCAAATGCCTAAATTTTAAGATGATTTTCTAGCAACACTCTTGTATTACCAACTAGCTAGTACAAGTAAAGTGTTACTTTTGTGATTTGTTATTTATCTTTATGTCATAATATATCAAAAAAAATTCCTTGTCTTACTATAGAAATAATTATAAATTATTAAATTATCTTTGTGCCAACACATATAAGATTTCGTCAGATTTGTAATTTTGTTTAACGGTTTTTTTTCTCAGAACCAAAAATTGCAAATTGCAACGATCAAAACCTGCAATTTTAATACTCAATCCATCCCAAATTGTAAGACGTTTGACTTTTTTGACACCAAGTTTGACCAATTTTAATATAAAATATGTGCAATAATTCTTCAAGAATGACTTAAATTTGACTAATTTGCACAATTTTTTTGAATAAGACTAAAATTCAGGCACCTAAATTTTAGCAAATCCCATATTTTTTTGACCTTTTTAACACTAACATGTATACAATTGTTGGTTAAGGGTTGCTCCAAAGTTCAAAGTTTGGCAATTTTAAAATGCAAAATCAATAAGCATGTGTGTTGATGTCTGCGCTTAAATTTGCAGGTAACTGTGGACAACGGCATGGTGCAAGTGACGCTTTCAACGCCGCAGGGACACATCACCAACGTCCGCTACAACGGCGAGCAAAACCTTCTGTACTACACTGGCGGGGCCAACACTGCAGGGTAAATTAGGGATCTGCTATTTAACAGGCACATGAGATCTTTGTTCTTATTAGACGATGTATATGATAGGTATAATTTATCTTGTATGGGTGCACATGCCCTTAAAGAGCACACTGTTTAAATTGTCTGTCTTCTGATGTGCATCTATCTCCGTACACATCCAACAACACAGGAGATAGAAACACATGCCCTTAGTGGGGAACCGCGTTCGTCAACACAAATTAAATTGTGACTAGTAATTTGCATAATCTTCTTTCTAAAAGGTTGTCCATTATTTGGTGTAATTGTTCATATGATATAAACACCGCGATGCAGCAGCCATATATGGACTATATATAATACATATGGTTCATTGATCTTTGTTTCTGATTATATATAAATAATCTCCTGCAGGTATTGGGACGTGCTCTGGGACTATCCCGGATCAGGTCGGCCAGGAGTGCTCAACATGTGAGTTCACAAATGAAAAGGGAGCGACTTTATTTCAAGCAGAGAGATATAATATACCTCTTATTAAGAAGATACATAAATAAACATACAAGAACAACTAACTTGAATTATTTTGTACAGGTTGGACGGTTCAGAGTTGAGGGTAGTATCCTCAAGCGAAGAGAATGTGGAGCTTTCTTTCAGGAGCAACTACAATCCGTCGCTCCCAAACAGCGTCAGGCTAAACATCGATAAGAGGTACTGTTGCATGAATGGATGGAAGCACCGATCTACAAGTTCAATGCAATCCCCTTTTTGTCCCATCCAAATCCGATCCTATGAAATCTTGAGAACGAAGAACTAGTGAACTTCTGTTGCATTGCATGCTGTTTCAGGTTTGTGATGCTGAAAGGCAGCTCTGGTTTCTACTGCTACGCCATCTTGGAGCACGCCAGCAGCTATCCTGCTCTCATCGTCGCCGAGTCTCGGGTCACCTTCAAGCTCAACACGGACATGTCAGTCCCTTGAACTTCACTCACCAATTCAACTACCTCGACCTCGACCTCGATCGATCTCTACAGCAGTACAGCTGACCTAGAATGGCCGGTATGTATATATAGGTTCAACTACATGGCGATCTCAGACGATATACAGAGGTACATGCCCAGCGCAGCAGACAGAGTTGCGCCACGTTGCGCTCCACTGGCCTACAAGGAGGCCGTCCTGCTGGTCGACCCCATGGAGCCACAGTTCAAGGGGAGGTGGACGACAAGTACCAGTACTCGCTGGACAACAAGGACAACGCCGTCCATGGCTGGATCGGCGGCGGCCGCACCAGCACCAACCCGGCCATGGGCTTCTGGGTCATCACACCCAGCAACGAGTTCAAGAGCGGCGGCCCCATGAAGCGAGAGCTCACCTCCCACGTCGGACCCGTCTCCATGGCCGTAAGAAAATACAAAACATTCTTCTTCTTACTAGAATACTCATCACTATCGGTTCCTGACCTGACCCACTTTCACTGTCGTTTTCGCGCTTCGGCAGTAAATGTGGACGATGATAAGGAACTTAATCACCATCAGTATGAAACCAGTGGTGAAAATCGAATAAAAAACATTTCATATAAAATACACGGACCCTCGGCCACTGCCTGCACCCGCATACGGCACTGTTGTGGGGGAGGAGAAGGAAAGGAAAGGGGCGTATGGTGGGACAAGATGAGCGGTTAGGCGAAAAACAATCTAAGGCTGAGAGAGTTGTGGGTCCCATGTAGGCTTTTCACCGTTAGTTTCAAAAATTTCGGCAGTGAAAAATGATGTTGTGAAAAGGTCTTATATATATACTTTATTGCTTCCATTATAAATATCAATAGTCTATGACATACAGCGACCAGGGGCGGATTTGTCCAGCAGCAGCACCCACGGCCTCACCATGTGAATGTGAATATGCTCCGTGGCCCTAACCGCATAGATACGTCTCTGGATGCGATCAGCGTTCAGATCAATGGCTCCCCCAGCCCTAGGGCCCCACTTGGTGACTCCCATAAGCCCCAAGGTCGCCAGCTGTAGCCAACACACTGCAGCTGGCGGTAGCCGCTATCCAACATTGGCTCCAGCAAGCAAAAAGGACAACCGGATAGCCGACCGGTGAGTGGCGAGGCTAGAATAAATTGGAGGTCGACGTGCTTGTCTTATAAGTGCGAAGATTTGAGTTGCTCTCAAGCTTGAAAGTAACTCTCCACTGTTGTAGCCAGTGTCTGTTGCTCCTGAGTCTATGTCACAGTATCTTCGTGCTTCATGAATACCAAAAGTTTTTCTAGGTCACTAATAATTAAGAAAAAGTTTGCAAGGTTATGTATTTTTGTACAATATATACTATGTTTTGATAATTGTTAGTATACGCATCGTCAGGTGTTTCTAGGGACGCATTACACTGGGATCGACATAATGCTGAACCTGGGCGACGGCGAGTACTGGAAGAAGGTGCTGGGCCCGGTATTCATCTACCTCAACTCCAACCCCAACAATGGCAGCGACATCCGAGCTCTCTGGGACGACGCCAAGGCGCAGGCGCGAGCGGAAGCCGGCAAGTGGCCGTACAGCTTCCCGGAGTCGCCGGACTTCGCCAAGGCGGGCGACAGGGGCACGGTCACCGGCACCCTCCTGGTCAGGGACGCGTTCGCGAGCAAGGGCGGCGACGTGCCTGCTGCAACGGCGTTCGTCGGGCTCGCCGCGCCCGGCGGGCAGCCTGGCTCCTGGGCGACGCAGTGCAAGGGCTACCAGTTCTGGACGACGGCGGCGGCCAGCGGCCGGTTCAGCATCAGCGGCGTCCGGGCTGGGACGTACAGCCTCTACGCGTGGGTTCCCGGGTTCCTCGGAGACTACGTGCACACCTCCACGGTGACGGTGACGCCAGGGGGCGCCGTTGACCTTTGCACCCTTGTGTTCGAGCCGCCGAGGTCGGGCCCGACGCTGTGGGAGATCGGCGTGCCGGACCGGACCGCCGCGGAGTTCTTCGTCCCCGACGCCGACCCCAGATACGCCAGCAAGCTCTTCATGGACAAGGACAGGTACAGGCAGTACGGCCTGTGGGAGAGGTACGCCGAGCTGCACCCGGCTGGAAATGACCTCGTTTTCACAGTTGGTCAGAGCGACTACTCAAAGGACTGGTTCTTCGCACATGTCACAAGGTAATCTTTAGGGGTGTTTGGTTCTTTAGTCGCTTCTAAAATTCATGTCACATCGAATATTTAGGATGCTAATTAAGATGACTAAATATAAGCTAATTATAAAACTAATTATACATATAGAGGCTAATTCACGAGACGAATCTATTAAGCCTAATTAATTCATCATTAGCATATATTCATTGTAGCATCATATTGTCAAATCGTGAACTAATTAGGCTTAATAGATTCATCTCGCAAATTAGCCTCTATCTATGTAATTGATTTTATAATTAATCTATATTTAATACTCCTTATTAGTATATAAACATTCCATATGACAGGAATTTTATGAGCTCCTAGAAAACCAAACAGGGCCATACATATATGAAATTATGGACAACAACCCTTACGGTAAAGATGCCAGGTGGTCATGATGGTCTATATGCAAAACATGCATGTTTGTGTTTGCAGGATGGTTGGCAACGTCAGTACACCGACGACACGGCAGATACGCTTCAACCTCGACCACGTCGTGGCAAACGGCACCTACACTCTGCGCATTGCTCTTGCAGCTGCTCAAATGTCCAGACTCACGGTACACATGCATGTTACATATATACAAATCTTAATTTTGTAACCTAATCAGCCAAACATGCATGTCTGCTGATACAATACAATGTGCTCTCATCTTTGAAATAAGGTGCGCGTGAACGGCAGAGCGACTAGGGAAGCCGTGTTCAGCACGCCGGAGTTCGGCGACGGCAACGCCATCGCGCGGCACGGCATCCACGGCGGCGTGCAGTGGAGCTTCGAGTTCCCCATCAGGGGCTACCTGCTGCAGCAAGGCAAGAACAGCATCAGCATCACGCAGACGAGGGCGTTCGGGCCCTTCTTGGGGGTCATGTACGACTACCTCAGGCTGGAAGGGCCTCCGCCGGCGTGATCACTCCGGCGACCCCCATTGCGCCGCTAGCCGAGAACAGTCACAACATCCTAGCTAGATGGCAATGTAGTCACAACAGGATATGGATTCCCGCATCTGTATTCTTCTATTCTAGCAGTAGTCGCAGAACAGTAGGAGAAGCCAAAAAGCCTGTTCGGCTGCACTCATTTGCAGCTGATGCAGCGGCGAGCATGAGTGAGCATGGTGGATGGAAAGTAACAAGTGTAGTCACAATTCTACAAATTAAACCAGAGTGAAATAAGTTTGGAGGATAACTAGATGTTTAAAATTTGACACAAACTAGCCCATCGATCCATGATCCAAATATCCTGTTCGGCAGGCTGGGCTGGCTCGTATACGATCGTAAATTTCCTGTCGGAACAATATTTTTCTCTCACACCAAACCAGCCAGCAGTAATTCTTCACGAACCAGCAACGATCCAGCCTAGCCAAACGAACAGGCTAATGGTTAGGTATGGTAATTCAATCCACAGGTGCTGCTGGTAAGCGAGCCAAGTCACACCTGCAGGTCTCATCGAGTCGGAACCCGAAATGAATGAGGGTTATGTGCGGCTGCTAAATCGCACCCGTGAGTGCCTATCGCGGCCCAAAATATAAGGAACATACTACGTAACCAAGTATCCATGTCCAGATGTAGCGACATGTTTGCCATTTAGGTCTTAAATTTTAGTCCATTTCAAATATAAATGAGTGACTATGTGGTAGATGACTAGATGTGTGATATAAATATAAGAAAATTTGTTTATTTTCAATTTTTTGTACTTATTGATATAATCATGATGATATATTAATTGTAAGATGAACACACTTAATGGGTGCCCGAAACTCATGAGCGACCCGTGGACAAGGACGCATGTACAAAATTGCACCTGTGAGGTGTTGCAATGGCGGATGTGACCAGGGTTTCAAAATTTGGTTTACATGTTTCTACCGACCAAAATTCGTAAGTTTCAGAAATTTCGGTGCCAAATCTCAGTCAAAGGAAATTAAATCAATTTTGATCAAAGGAAATTAAATAAATTAATTTTATGGTGCTGAAATTTAAAAAAAACAGAATTGTTTGAGATTTGATCCTTACACCTCCTGCAAGGCGGTGGAACCTTTCCACTAGATTAGATACCAACTTATGAATTTTGATTAATACAAATCTATTTGAAATCCATAGTTTTGGTCGCCTTTGAAGACATAAAAAATGACAAATTATGGCTGGAATCTATCTGAAAATTTGAAGTAGGTGTGACAAAATGTTGCAAGTGCTGTTGTGGGTGTGTGTTTACTCCACATGCAGCATACTCGACCCATTTGCCATCCCTAAGCACGGTCTACAATCTTATGTTGCATAAGTATTAAAAGTTTAGTAGATAAATTTAGGCCCCCTTTGGTAGCGCTCTCGACCCCCCGCGGCCACTCCCCACTGCTTCAGCTCCCTCCAGCTCTCCACTGCTCCCGGTGCTGTTTGGTGGAGCTCCCTCAACGGCTCCCGCTCCCAACCCGCATCCCTGTAGGAAAGGTCAAGCTGTGGTGGCGCAAGGAGGAGGCAAGCTCGGCGGCCTCGAGCTCCGCAAGTCCGGCAGCCTCGGCAAGCTCGACGATGGCGTGCTGGATCTCAGCGAAGTCAACGGCGGTGGGATGGATCTCGACGAGCTCCGTGATGAAGAGGACCTTCCCGGCGGAGAGGTACGCGGAGACAAGCACGACCGAGGGGCGCGAGAGAGACAAGGGAGCAGAACAGATCAATGGAGAGCGGGTGGGATGGATCTCGACGAGCTCCGTGATGAAGAGGACCTTCCCGGCGGAGAGGTATGCGGAGACAAGCACGACCGAGGGGCGCGAGAGAGACAAGGGAGCAGAACAGAGCAGTGGAGAGCGGGTTTTTTCTGCTCCCCAGCCGCAGTGCAAGTTGGGCAGAGTGGTGGGAGTGCTTCCTACGCGGAGCAGCGCGGAACCGAGCCCTTTGGAAGCGCTTCGCTGATTCTCGTGGGGAGTTAAGCCGCTGGAGCGCTGCCAAAGGGGGCCTTAGGATCTGTCTATACAGATCTTGGGTGATCTATGGAGTTCGGTTAGCCGTGTGTTTGCACGTCCAAAAGCGCATTTACAAGTGCAAACAAATCACGTATTAGTGATACCGAGTTCTAGTTACAATCGAAGCAAATACGAAGAGATCGCGCACTGCTGCGGATGGCAAATATTTAGTGATTCTACAGAGAAAGAAGAATTGGCCCACGGATTAGCGGGTCCGATTGGCTAAAGTCTAGAAATTATATATGTGTCCTTGGAAATTTGGGGCCCTGTTCTGTCGCACCGCCTGCACTCCCCTAGGCACAGCCTTGCTCAGACTGAGGTTGTGCATTTGTCTTTGGCCATGGACTTTGCAATTCGTCTAGGGCTAGGTCCATCACTCCATAAAAGCCTCTCCTACAACTTCTGGCTATTGATAAAAGCAGGGGCAACGCTAGAGTGATTCCTAGGTATTCCCAGGAATGCCCATCTTTTAGGTAATACCTCAAGTATACATCGACTATACTCATATGTATAATATATATTGGGTTTAATCCTCTATTTTTTGGAGTAAGAGCATCCCAAGCAACACCATTCCATTCCTCCCATTCCTAGGCCGGTTCATAAGGTTGTGCTTGACCATCCCCAATCAGCCAATTCCCCATTGGCTACATGCAAGTACTAGGTTTGATGGTCGGTGGAGCTCCTGTGGCGGTCGATGCGGCTAGAACTGCGGGAGTAGCGAGTGCGAGGGACGGAAGGGTGGTGGTCAGGACACCAAGGGACATCCAAGCGACTTGTGCCAAGTGGAAGGCAACAACAAAGGTAAGGACTGTGGACTAAGGACTATGAATCTATGATTTCTAATTTCCATTAAGCTAGTTGAATCAAAAGATCATTTCAGACATGAAGTTAATTGTTTACATGCTTGTCAAATCTTATCAAATGGAAATGCTCGTACTTCCACAAGCAACTGCTAGAGAGGATCTTTTCCTCCATGAATTATGTGAAGAATAAATTGAGGAATAAGATGGGGGTATGAATCCTTGAGTGATTACTTGGTCACATTTATTGAGACGAACTTCTTTTTGCAAATTACAAAGAGTTTTCCATGCAAAGTTTTCAAAACATGTTTACATATCAATTAGAATATTTTTTGCAATTTTCTAGATTTTTCTAGATATTTTTCCATTTTCATAGTGTTAAATCTATTTTTCAGCATCTAGAAATATTTTCATGAGCTCTAAATAATAAATTTGGATTTTTCGTCCCAATCTATTTCTAGATTTTTTTTTGAATTTTTAAAAGCTTGGAGACATTTTTTGTGGCTTTAAAACCTTATCGAGTATTTACCGATTTTTTTAGCTAAAATGGATAAAATCACCTTCAAAACCATTCCAAACTAGAGCAGTGAGGTAATTTGAATGGTTTGAGAGTGTGGGAGGTAAGATGTCTGGTTTTGGAGTTTGAGGAGGAAAATCAGATTATATAAGTGAGATAGAATATATCTTTTTGCACTCAGAATTATATGGAAACACCTTGGAACAACTGCACGCACAAGGAATTTTACACGGCCCATCTTGGAGAAGAATAGAATTTGAGCCCGACTCGTGTTTTCAGGGAGGATATTGGGTCAAAACTCGTTGCCAAGCAGGCCCTTAGCTATGGTCTTCATATGCCTTCCAAGTAGCGATAAGGCCCAATTAAGTAGCGATCTAGATGCAGGCCCAAAACTGATCAAAACAAGTGCTGCCACTTTGCAGGTCATCGCCATCTATGTACTAGTGCATTTTTTACCTAATAAAGCTAGCTAGCTCTGACTCTGACTGAGACCATTGCCGTTGTCTCCGGGCGGAATAAAGCTTTTCAAGTGGTGACGATGATGTGTACTAATACGATGTCCACCGAGAAAACCATAAAAAAGTACAATTCAAGATTTAGTCAATGTCGAATTGTGCTAAGTTTAACTAAGTTTATGAAAAATATTATCAACATGTACGACTCCAAATAGACATACTATAAAAACATATTTCACGATGAATCTAGCGATATTAATCTAGCATGATAAATATTAGCATCTTATAAATTTGTTTAAACTTTAAATCATTTGACTTAACACTATTTTAGAATTGCGTCATTTTTGGGATGGAGTAGTCAAACTATCTTAAATTTGACTAAGTTTATAGGAAACATTACAAACATGCATGTATATGACTCCCGAATATTATACAATTTAAAATATATTTTATGATGAAGCTAATGATACTTATTTAGTATAATAAATAAATACCAATAATTTTTATATAAATTTGACTAAACCTTAAACAATTTTACTTACCATTATTCTATTCTAGAAATTGCATCTTTTTTTTTTTACAGATGGAGCAGTATTAGCTAGCTAGCGTGGTTTCCAAATGATATAGATCCAGATGGCTTTCCAAGATCTTGACGTGCGTGCATGTCTCTATCTGTCCCAATACAACACAAGTGTCTTATTGTCCCTTAATCTCAATGCACAATGATGACCATGCATGCATGCCTGCCCATGGTTTGATGACTGAGCATGACATGGACACGCTGACAACTCCGTTGATCATAGCGCATGATGTAGTAGTAGCAGCTGCTCCATCATCATACAGTTGTGGAGTACTATCATATATGTAATCCTCTGTACATATATGTACGTACGTGTATGTCCTTGTGAGGGGTGGGGGTGTCCACTAGCTCCTGTTCAGCAGCGTGCTCAAAAAGCAACAGTACTGTGCGTAGAAAACTACGCATGCGGATCACACAGCTCAGCTCAAAACAGCATCTTAGCATGGATGGATTGCAAAGCCCAAAACAGCACAGCTCAGCTACAGCGCACGCACACAGGCACCTCCTCCACACAACCACACTGCACTGCACCTGCACGCACAAAAAGGTGAGCTCTGCTCTGCTCCCAGTTAAAAAAAAAGGGTCCACTGGGGTCGTCTGGGGTCGAGTCGAGCCGTCGTCCGTCGAGGGAGGAAAAGGGGGAGAACGGGCGTCCCAGCCAGTCAAGCTCTCTGCTCTGCCGTCGCTCGCTCACCACCGGAATTCGGGGATCGGTGGAAAGAAGAAAGAAACCGAAGTAGTCCGATCGATTTTCCCTAAATAAAAATCCCACCTTTTTCCATCTCCTTCCGTCTGTTTCCGGAGGGCGACGGATGTCTTTTCTTGGGGCTGGGGCGGCCGTCCAGCGACCACGGAGCTGCGCCGAGGCAGTTGGGAGTAGTCGCCCTACCGCTCCAGCTCCAGCAGCCGCTCCAATCTAGCCGCCGGCGAGGACGACGACCCGGCCGCCTCATGGAAGGTACGAGCTGCGACCCCTCTCCCCCCATCTCTCGCTCTGCTGGACTTGGTTTCCTTCTTGGGGGGTAGTTGATAGCTTCCGTTCTAGATCTGCCGCGGGGTTTCCCTGAGCTGTAACAGTTTGGGCGGCGCTGTTTCGATTCGCCCGGATTTTTTTTTTCTCGCCACGGTTCGGGCCTGCACCTTGGTCGAAGCACAACAAATCCTGGGCGGATTGCTTGTTCTGCTCTTTGATTTTTCTTGATTCTTTTGGGCGGATGTGGCGGTGCGATTTGGGAGAGCTGCAGGCAAAGGTTTAATTTTTCGCAGTGCCAACTGCCAATGTATAGCTTAAGTGGATCCCAACCTTTGATTTTAGCTTCGAATGCGGTGGTTGATGCGGGTCTGTAGTTAGCTTGATATAGGGTGAAAGTAAACTGTTTCGCACGCTACGAGGCGGGCTGTGAATGTTTTGCAGCTCATGTGTGCTTGCTGATAAGTTTTTACTTATTTTAAGGCTGGACCAGTTCAGTTTTGGGAATGTATCCTACTCAGTTTTAGGTTCCAGGAATCAGGATCGTGTGTGAACGAAATTGAGATGGGTATATTTTTCTATGCAGAAAGGAAAGCAAGTCCATTCCAGTCCTGTGGGTTAGCTTGAAAATGGTATTACGGAAATTACAAATCCACAGCTCCCCAATCACAAGTTTAGTTGAATAATATACCACATTTTAGAATTCATTGCATATTCAGCCACCTAAGTTTCTGAGTTTTTGTGGTGTTCAAGCATAGATACCATGTATACTTCGGTCAGCAGCAATGCTATGTTCTTGTGCCCCCTTGTGACACAATATAAATGAAGTAAATATTGCAAAATGTAGGACTGCCAATTCAGTTCATTTGGAATTTCAGTCATTTGAGATCTACAAAGCCGAAGTTGGTATCGTATATTTTTAAACAGTAAACATCTATAGTGTCCTTGCAGCAGTGGTTACCATGGTACAATCTTTGCTGCTGGCAGACTATCAAGTTTCATTTTTTTTTCTTTTTCTTTTTGTTTTTTAATGGTGATGGTGAGGGATATGCTCATGTAGAGTTTTGTAGAAGGAATGAAGGATAGGATGGGATTACTACATTTGGTTACTCAGAATTCTATTGTCCAGTAAATGAAGTTACTGCTCATATTTGGTTATCTCTGATTCTCTGTATTTCTTGGCTTTCTAATTCCAATGATCATTGTGGTAAATTCAAGTTGACTTGATAAGTCATTTTTGTTAGTAGATTGGTGTTCGTTCTCTGATCGTCCTGAATATTGGATCCATATTTAAGTTTCTATGCTTTTTGCTTTGACTTGTATGGACTTGTTGGGCACATCCAGAAAAATCTCCAAAAAAAATCATGCCCATCTATGATTGTATTGGTATTGTGTTTAGGTATTGATTGATTAAACCAAGTAGACATCTTTGTAGAGCAACTTTTATGTGCCAGGTTTTCTTGTGATGTATTGTTTCATGCTACACTTGCTATCTTCAGTACCCTATTGTTTATCTGCTACTTGTCCTTTGATTGCTCATCTTGGATCCTAGAGTTTCTCGAAGTTTTCATATTATATTATTTGAACATCCATTTGTACAAACTTTACACTTAGTAACTGAGGGATTTGACGCAATTTTGCAGACCAATCGCCTGACCATGTATCAGTCGGTTCAGCACCAAAGAAGTCTAGTACTTCATCACGAGGCCGGCACCGTAATTTCTCATCATCAACATGCAAAGATTTTCTCCGGAAGTTTGTGGACAGTGAACTTTTAACTTCAAGCCTAGAGGATTGGTTCTCTGGTCACAGTGAAGATTGTGGTTTCAGGAAGCCAGCTTTTGATGTTCCTTTCGACCTTACAGAATTACAGAATTTTGATTATGCTCTGGAGGGTGTTACTTTTCAGCAGCTAGTACGGATGCCAAATGCTCTATATGCATCGACATCAGATGTTTTTGAAGCTACTGCTTATCTTGCTTTAGAGGATTTCCTTCATGCAGGCATTAAAGGATTGTGGCAAACTTTCTGGGGTCCTGATGAAGCAATGCCATTCTCAGTTGCCTGTATACACAGCACAAGCTCCAAATTTTATCCTGCTGAGAAGGCTATTAGCAGTGGAAAACTCGATGGTGTTTGTGCAACCGCTATACTATTGAAGAATTTGAAGCATTCACAAGGAAGATGGGATCATATTGTCGTGTTGGCTTTGTTGAGACCTGATATCGGAATGGTTTCCGCACAGGGTGACCAGGAGCCATCTCCTGCTGTCTTAGGGGAGGCACTGTTCTTTGCTTTGCGTGTCCTACTATCTCGAAGCCTTGGTAGATCCTCTACTGTTCTTCGCAATTCAGACTGTGTTTACTTGCTTCTTGTTGATTCACAGTTTGGAGGAGTGATAAAAGTGCAAGGTGATTTGAACAAGCTGGATTTTGATCTGAACAATGTTTATGACTGTGCTGCTGAATGGATAAAGAAACATGCCAAAATTTCAGTTTCTTCCATAGATCGAGTATGGAACAAACTTGGGAATGCTAACTGGGGAGACGTTGGGACCCTTCAGGTTCTCATTGCAATATTTCACTCAATGATCCAATTTTATGGAGAGCCTAAGTATTCTCTCGATGAACTGGCGACGGAACATAGTTCAAGGCTACAAAGTCGAAGATCAGAAAGACATTTGGTTGATAGACAAGCTAATGGTAATGGCTTATTTCGATTCCAACAGCGAAGTCACTCTCCTGAAATTGTCGAAGTTCAGGAGGAAGCAGCTGTTGATGTGAAACCACATGAAACCTTAAGGCTTGAAATAGGATCTGTTGTATTGATGGATGATGCTTACAAACAGAAAGGTTTTCAAATCAATGACATCCTAACAGACAGTGATCCTCCTATTTATACTTCTACTCCTGTAGAAGAACCTACGAGAACCTATTTGCTGTATGTAGGCTCCAGTCCTTCTCATTTGGAACCAGCATGGGAGGATATGAACTCCTGGTACCAAGTACAGAGGCAGACCAAAGTACTGACTGTGATGAAGCAACGATGTATTTCTAGCAGATATATACCACAGATGGTATCTTCTGGACGGGTCATCCATCCAGGCCCATGTAACAAGCCTAACTCAAATGGAAGTTGTGGTCATCCATGGTGCAGTACTCCAATGCTTGTCACCTCACCAGTTGGTGAGACCATTTCAAATCTGATACGGAATGGATTGTTCGGTGTTGAGGAGGCTCTGAGATGTTGCCATGACTGTTTATCGGCTCTTGCTGCAGCAGCTTCTTCAGGAATCCGTCATGGTGATATCCGGCCAGAGAATGTGATCCGTGTCAATAATGGTTCAAGGCATCCATATTTTGTGCTTATTGGATGGGGTCATGCTATCCTAGAAGATAGGGATCGGCCAGTAATGAATCTATTCTTCTCATCTACATTTGCACTCCAGGAAGGAAAACTATGTGGAGCATCTGACGCAGAAAGTTTAATTTATCTTCTATATTTCTCTTATGGTGGAGTTTGCCCCGAGCTTGACTCTGTTGAAAGTGCATTTCAGTGGAGGGAGACATCATGGTCGAGGAGAGTTATACAGCAGAAGTTGGGCGACATCTCAGCAGTGTTAAAAGCTTTTGCGGATTATGTCGACAGCCTTTGTGGAACTCCATACCCGATGGACTATGAGATCTGGTTGAAACGACTGCGAAGAACAATAAATGAAGATCATGGGAAGGAGGTCGACACATCCTCAAGTTAATACTTTAGCACATTCCCTTGCAAATCCAAAATTTGGAAGATCAAGAGTGATCAGCCCATTACCTTTTGTTGTTGTTGTAGATAATTTATCTGTGAAAGGTCCATAGGTCATAGTATCGTCCATCGTTTCACACCATTTCTTGTATATAAGGGTATTTCAAAGTTGCAATCTGCTGCTGCTATCCTCAATGGGATCACTGTCAATGTTTACTATTCCGTGGTCTTGCCTTCAGCCCTTCATACAGGAGATCCTTGAGGATATCAGCAACATGATGTATTTTGTGAATCTTTGGTAAATTGGTGAGCCTCTGTTCTGGTTGCCTTCAGAGATTCTGGTCCCATTTTATTCGGTTCTGGTAGGCTTCAGGATGATTTTGTTTTTCTTGTGATCAGTGTCTAAACTGTTAATCAGTCGGTAAATTTGTAACTGCTCTAGAATAGAGGTTACATGGTAGCATTTTGAGCTTGACTAAGTTATTTGTTGGGTGCGATGTTTAAGTTATTTGTTGGGTGCGATGTTCAAGGTCCTGCAAATGATGTTCCATTGAGCTGCTCAAACTCGTATTCTGCTACTGTTCTTAAATCTCTCTGTGCGTGGGCTGTGGGGGTACTACTTTGCTCCATATGCATCAAGAAATGCCTTGATGGTGATACTATCTTTGTTTGCAACAAGAAACACTGATGCGTGTACAATTGTTTCACCTTTCATTGACTTCATGGGATGATGCCACATGCTCTTAGGTTGTGTTGTAATGAATGTTTTGTTCCCTAATATAGTCTGTTAACATGTCCTGTCCAGGTTTTGAACTCGTTGCAGATTGCTTCAATTTGCAGAACTGAACCCCTTAAAACAGCCGCTTAGAAAACATCATTGCTGAGACTGCAACGCTGCAACATGATGGAAAATAAAGGATGTACATACTTGGTACCTGCTCTGTACTTGGAGGAATTTCGTTAAAAGTAACAATATGAGCTTGTGCAAATGCTGATTCTTTCTTGTAATTCACATTCCACAACGACCGTAACAGTGATTCGAATCATTCAAAAAAGTTTTCCCAAAATGATTGAAAAAACTTTTTTTTTTAAAAAAAAGGTAGTATGAGCCAGGTAAATCTAAGGGCCTGTTTGGCAGGGCTCTGGCTCCTCTGAAAATGGCTTCGGCTCTAGCTTCTCTGAAGGAGCAGCTCCTCTAGAGGAGCTGAAGCCGTTTTGGAAACGTTTGGCAAAACGGCACCTTCGCACTAGACGACGTGAACCCATAGCGATGAGCTGCGCGAAGCTCGTTTTTGAGGCTTCTCCTGCGCAGGTAAAAAATGGCTCCGGCTCTTAACCGGCAACCCATACAGAGTCCTTTCCAAAACAGACGTTTGGCACAGCTCCTATAGTAGCCGGAGCTGAAGCCCCTGCACGAGCCCTGCCAAAGAGGCTAGTGTCAGTAGACACAAACACTTCTCGGCCGTCGCCCCTCGTCTCACGCCGCTTCAATCCAAGGAGACCGGCGGACAGATGGCAGCCGCCGCGGCGTACTGGCGGGTGTTGAAGGCGGTGCAGAAGCACCGCCGGCACGGAGGCCGCGGTAGGCCGACGCCATGGAGAGGCTGCAGCTCGCCGGGGACTACCTTACCTCCTCACCAGCGTTCACCAGCGCAAGGTAGGGGATTGATCGCCATGTTTCTGATGTGTTCGATGAAATGCTCAAGAAGAGTTTTTTTTTACCTCCACTTCATCTAAATGCCTCTCTCGATGTGCTATGCGTTGCCTAAAAAACAATCATTAATCAGCTAATTGTAAAACATGCCAAAAATTGCATATTTGAGTTCACTACGTAGGAAGCCAATATTGCGGCAGCAAAATAAAGAATGTGGATGGGAAGCACAAGGAAGAACATATGCAATTGAGTACAAAACTTCTCTTACTGAACAAATGTACTGTAATATGCAAGGCAGGATAAACCATGCAAAATTAATCATTGCATTAACTAACTTCATATCAGCATATGCTTCTGAAACCATGATGCAATGATGGGGGAAAAATCATATGGAAGAATTCTCTTGCTGCTTCTGAAACATGGCATATATCAACCATTGGTCCAGTTTAGTTTCAGCTTCATGTGATTGCTGAGCCTTTCCACCACCACAGGAGTAATAATAATCTGTTAAGTCTTCTGATAACCTTTAATCTGCGGAGTTCTGCATTGAAGTCAGTAAGGTATCCAATTATGGGCCATTAGCGTTTGGTAAGAGCTCGCATACAAACTGATTTAGAATTAGGATTCCTCCTCTTTCTTTTCTTTCGGGTTAGAATCGGGCTGTTCGGCTGGTTGATTTTGCGGCTGATTCAATAGTGTTCTATGAGAGAGAATAAGCTACGGTACGTCTGAAAAGTCGGCTGAAACCACCAGCCGAACAGGATATGTTTTACAACACCCACCACCACTGCTGGTAAGGGTTCCGTTTTTCTTGTTGTAACCGGATTTGTTTTCCTAATAGTAGCTGGGAGATCAGGATCGGAGTCGGAAACTATAGGTTATCATAATGTAATAAGCACGGAGACTATAATATCGAAAGTCAGTCGCAACTCGCAATTAAACGTCCCCGCATCTGTGTACCCATGGGCATGGCGACCGGCGGCTCCAGCTGGTCCTCACTCCCCGGCGATCTCCTAGAGCAGATCTCCCACCACCTGTCCACCGATGCCGACCACCTCCACATCCACCAGGTCTGCGCACACTGGCGAGCCTCCACCTCTCCCCCGACCGCCTTCCGCCCGTGGGTCGTGGCCCGCCGCACGGGCCGGAGCAGCCGATTGCCAGCACCCGGCCACTACTCCGTCTGCCAGCTCCCTCGCCGCCGCCTCCAGCACGAGGTGGAGATCCGCCACCCCCCGGCCGGGCTTCCCGTACTGCTTCGGCCTGTCTCGCGGCTGGCTCGCCCTAGCCGACAGCGTGCGGTCCCCCACGCGGCTCGTGCTGTGGGACCCGGCCTCCGGCGCCGAGCTCCGGCTCCCGCCCCTGGGCGACCTCGTCCAGGTCTTCCTCTCCGGAGACCCGCTCGCGTCGCCGTCGTCGGACTGGGTAGCGGTCGGGACCCAACTCTATGGCAACCAGGGGGCGCAGAAGTCCTTCTGGCGGCGGCCTGGGGACGCCGCCTGGAGCGTCCTGTCCGAGCGAGGCACCGCGGGGATCGAGACCGTCGCGTTCCACGGGGGGAGGGTATACTACATGGACTGGAGGTGGGTCCTCGTCGTCTTCGACATCAGCCTCGCGCCGCCGGCGCCGGCGCCGCCGCGCGTCTGGCTCATGAACATCAGCCAACCCATGTTCCGACGCTGCAGCTGCCAACGCTACCACGGCGTGCGCGGGGCGCAGATGGTGACGTGCGCCGGCGAGCTGCTGCTCGTCATTCTGCGCGTCGAGGGCGGCCACCCGTCCTTCGCCTAGGTGTATAAGATGGAATGGACGCCGGAGAATATGCTGGAGCTCCGCGACAGAGTGGCGGACCTCGGCGACCACTCTCTCTTCCTTGGTCGGGGCGAAAGCTTCGCCCTTTCTGCCAGGGAGTACCCTGCTATCAAGAGAAACCATGTCTACGGCTTGGCACTTCAAGCACGTTCTGGTGACGGCACGCTAACAGAGTGGGCATTTGTGTATGACCTGAGCTCAGATACTTTGAAAGAAATTCACCACCCGAAAGAGCTCAGGGAGGACGGGACCAAAATTTGGCGGCCACTTTACTGGTTATGTCTCAGAAGCTCATACAAGAGGAACCAGCAACAATAAACTCTGCAGCTGGTTCCAAGCTGCTCCTAACCTGCTTGCTACTAGATGCATTTTGGCCTTTTGGGTGTGTGCAAGACAAGAAACACTCACTTAAAATATAGCTAGTAGCTACGCATTCTATAAGAGCTCAAGCTTCAAATGCAAGTATATATATAAACTTATAAGATCATATGAATATGAGATCTGTACAGTCCTGTTTATGATCTTTATGTTGTCAGAAGGTCTTTACAATTACCGATTCTGACATTCGTGACTGATGCTTGGGAAATTCTGCTAATCTATCCAAGGTGCCAAATGTTACTGTTAGACAGATGAATTTATGAATGCACTATGAAAACACTCAATGTGCTCTGAAATGACATTCAGCATATCAGCACTTGGAGCTCTGCTAGATGGTGATTAACCTCTGTGACTACTCACTGGTTGTCGTCTGATTTGATGCATTTGCCCTGTTTGCAAAGGGGTTTCCTGCCACCAAGAGAAAGTATGTATACTGTGCAGACAGATATCACGAGCAATACTACTGTGTCTGTGTTCCATTTGAAATCATGCTTTTTATAAGGAATTCCCTACCCTGAAGAGCTTATGGAAGATGGGAATCGGCTGAATACTGCCCCCTGAAGTGGCAGTGAACTGAAGTAATTGGGATTTGGGAATAAGTTACATCATGCATTCAAGGGCTTGTTCAGAATGCAGTAATCTCCTTGGGAACTTTGTACAGTCACTGTTTGGAACAGAGGAGTGCCCTTGTGAAATTCCATTTAGTACCATGCTTTCCAAATGGAGAAGGAAAGAGTGTCGAATAAATTTCTACCACAATTAGTGTTTAGATTCGATCAGAATAGCATCAGTTGATGTCTGCTTAAATTTCTTCCTTCAGACCTTTGTACATGAACAATTTGCCTTATATTTATTTATTTATTTATAAGAAAAGATATTCAGTAGGGCTCTCATAGTATTCTCCTGAAAAAAAGAAAGAACAAATGCATGATGCCAACCTAACGTGCCCTCTTCATGTTGTTATTATTACAAAACTTTGTACTTGATTTGAATGGGAAATTTTTATTAAATAGCATCCTCTTTGATCAGTAATTCAGACACAAACAGATGTGTTTTCTGCATTTTCAAAATTACCCTCTCTTTTTCTGCATATCTATTTGCACATGATGACTACTGGTTTGTTCAACTTGGTCTAGTTTTAATAATGTAGTTTAACCTAAGTAATGAAAATGTTGAACATAACGTGTCATTCTTTAGCAAGCACCATACTTTTTGCAAAACTGAACAAACAACCCAATTTCCTTCTTGCATCCACAAAAGGATTATATTTATCCATATGTTGGTATAAGCCCTCTGAGTATCCCCGTACTCAAGGTATTTGTCGTTAAGCTGTTTTAGGTCCCCGACGATCAAGATGGCCACTTGACTCATAATCAAGTTAGATCGAAGACATACAAGCGGACGAGATGAGCGCCTCATTCTGCTTCATGTAACGTTAGATGAGTGACTACAAACGGAAGTAAGGATGGCAACGGGTCGGGTTCGGATCGGGTGGAGTCTCCGTGCATCCAAAACCGAAACCTGAAATCAAAACCCGAATCCGCCCCGAAAACCGATTCGGGTGGAAATCCATCACCAAAACCAAACCCGAACGGATACCCGAAACCCGAATGGATACCCGAAACCCGCGGATATATATACACATATTCACATGTATAAATAAGAGGCAACAAATAATAAACATTTTATGAGTCAACTTTAAATAAATTTAATAATCTAAGTAAACAAATTATTATTAGTATATTATAAAACATGAGTTTTAATTTCAAATAATTTATTTCGGATATCCATTGGATATCCACGGGTGGAAAACCAAACCCAAAACCGAACCCGATTGGTTTCGGGGCCCCGAACCCGAAAACCGTGGGTGAAAAACCATCCCCAAACCCGAACCCGTAGAACTCGAAACCCGCGGATATCCGCCCCAAACCCGATCCGTTGCCATCCTTAAACGGAAGAGTCTCAAGACCTAGTATAGACTAGTGGTGGCCTTATTTTGATAATAAATCTCCTCTTTAATTTGAGACTTACTTTCTTCCATCTAAACTTAATAAAATATTTATGTTGTTCTTGTATCGTGAATGTAACCGATGGTTTGGGAACGCTCTTGAGATGTGAATATCGAGTAAGTGGAGCTCGGAGTTTTACCTTAGTTCGAGTTAATCTGATGGACAATACTCGAGTTAAGTTAATTAATTGACCAGGGTCCTTGCACCCTTCTTCCTAGCAAGGGGTGGCTCCTGTTCATCAAGAGCTCGCTCCTAGTTTAGCCCCGTTAGTCTTTCACAAAGGGCAGCTGTGCCTTGATACTTCTTCCAGTCAGCTCATAATTTCTTGCAGGGCCGCCGTCCCTGATATTTTTGGTGGGCCAGTGCAAAATTCAAAATGGGACCCTATGTATAAAAACAGTTACTTTAAAAAAAAAAGTCTTTTTTTTTGTTAATCCTATTAGCAGTATAACTTTTTGATTATATCTTGCTAGATAATTAGGCATTTTCATGATCAATTTAATCCAGAAATAAAACATCAGCAGGTTCATGACGACATATATGTGCATGTGTATATCTCTAACAAACACTACGGCATTCAAATATGATATACTGATCGATACAGTAAGTACGCAAAGTACGGTCATCATAGAGCTAAGAATGTACCCAGCGGAGGGTCCCATGCCGAGGGCATCGGAGGCTCCATTCACACAAGACATAATGTGTTACTCGAAGTCGTGGACCACAGTCGATGCAGGAAGGTGATCGCAGTGTAGTCCCACGAACGGTCACCAGGAAGAAGACACCTTGCTGTTCCGCGAGCGATCACCAGGAAGAAGACGGGTTCCACGAGTGATCACCACGAAGAAGACGTCGGACGAGCAGTCGCGGAATCGCTCCCCAAAAACCTAATCGCCGCACACCCTGTGCAAGGTTCGCAGGTGGACGAGGGTTCCGGAGGCACCTGCTCTTCCGCTACTCCGTGCGCGCAAAGGTGCGGGACGGGGAAAGCCAAAGGACGGCTGAGATGTGTTTTTTCGGAAGTGATTGGAATAGAGGACTGACGGAGACCTTTCTGTTTTATGCCTACGGCGGGGAGGGAGAGAGCCAGCGGAGGAACTCAGGAGACGGAGACACGGAAAGACGGTAACTGGCGCAATTAACTTGCCTCCACCATCAAGGTGAGAAACTCCCATAATTATGTGGATTAAGTGGAAAAACCTAGCCACGCCCGTCTGCTCGCTCGCCGCCCACCTGCCTGCCACGCCACGGCTCACGGCCATTGCCTCGGCTCGACCCGACCCACGCCCACGCCCACGGCCCGGCCGGCGGCGGCGGCGTGCGCGCGTGTGGCACTCCTGTGTCCTTTTCTCAGTTTCTCAATTAAGATGGATAATTTCCAACCAAATAAGCTGAGTAAACATTCAGTCAAAATCCCGTACGGTATTAAACCATACAACGCTTAATGTTACGGACCATAGAGTTTTATTTGATTTATTAAATATTATACAGGCCAAGCCCATAATATATCCAACAATCCCCACCAAACTCTAGGGTTTGTAACAAAGTAGTCTCAGAACCACTTTCTTCTATATACCAGTAGTTTCGATGAAGACTGTTAAGTTGAACATCCATCTAGAGCAATAGTTTCACTCAGTCACAACTGAATAATGGACTAAGCCTTGAATTGATAGTTTTGTGTGAGATGAATGTCACTAAAGTCCTTATCTGATACTAGGCCGCAAAAGGACATCCCCTCTATTTGAAGCATATAAGTCATACTCCAGTGCCTTTCATGAGTATTTAGAGATTACCCAAATCTCATAGACTATGACCAGCAGTCTGACTCATATAGGTGTGTTCCTCAAAAAATGTTCTATAGGACAACATCTTTGCTTTAACAAGCCACTTAGAACACATTAAGGTAAAAACCAACCTGTCTTACAAAAAGAAAAGATATTCATCAGAAATGAGTACTAAGGATCTTTTCTCACAATTTACTACTAGCTTGTTTCACCATCCTACTTCACGGCATCTCCGATCACATAGAACTGGTTACCACTATAGTAAATTTCATGTGGGTCTCAAACCCATCTCTCTCGATGCACTTTCTATCACATTGCGTGATAGACCCTTAGTGAATTGATCTGCCAGGTTGTTAGACGTGTGAACATAGTCCAACGCTATTATTCCGGAGTTTCTCAATTTTTTGATAGATTTTAGTCGTCTCTTAACATGCCTTGTGGACTTCATGTTATCCTTAGAGCTGTTAACCTTCATAATCACAGTCTGGTTATCGCAGTTCATAGAAATAGCTGGTATGGGTTTTTCAACAACCGGTAAATCCATAAGGAGATCACGAAGCCACTCGGCCTTAGAGCCAGCGAGTGTCTAATGATGTGAGTTCTGTTTTCATTATAGACTTCATTAAGATAGTCTGCTTGCAAGACTTTTAGGAAACAGCACCATCTCCAAGCAAAAACACATATCCACTAGTGGCATAAAGCTCATCAGCATCAGAGATCTAGTTGGCATCACAATAGCCTTCCAGCACCTTCGGGTGTCCGATATAACGAATACCATATCTCATAGTGCTTTTTAGATAGCGCATCA